AATACCACCTCAACCCCCCACACAAAAACCCCACAACCACCATACTCCCAGCACAAACCCCCATGCCCCTGACATAAAACGGCGCCTCCGCCTTAGGATAAAGCCTCACACCCACCAGCGGCCCACACTGTCCAATAACCTGCAGTACCGCGAATCCCACGCCTCTCCCGGATTCCGACGCTTCGTTGTTGATGGACCAGGTGATGGTCAAGGTGACGACGCTGAAGAAGCCCGCGGAGGCGGGGAAGAGGGCTAGGTAGCGGGTTAGGGGTGAGAGGTGGAGGTAGGGGGATAATGCGAGGATGGTGTAGCCTGTTGCGGAGAGGAGGGCGAGGGATAGGACGAAGGGGGATCTTGTGCGGTGTTTGTCGGAGAGGTAGGAGGTTAGGAGGACGACGGCGAAGGAGAAGAGGAAGGGGGGTGCGGAGAGGGCTTGGGAGATGCTGACGCTGTGGCCCATGTCGTGGATTATGGTTGGTAGGAAGACGGGGAGAGAGGAGAAGGCGAGGTTGGTGAAGAAGAATATTAAGGCTGTGATGTATGTTTTGATATCTGTGAGGGTGTGGATCACTTCGAATTTATTCAACCCCCGGGTTCGAGATGATTTGGAGGTTTGTGAACGTAGACGTAAACGAGCGATGCGCTTCTGTCTCGTTGTGAGATATGGCGCTGTAGAAGGAGAATCCGGGATGAGGTGCCATGCTATTACCGCAACAAGCACACTGGGAAACCCTTCAAGCAGAAAAAGCAATCTCCACGATGCGATCGGAGAGTGCTTCCCCAATGTTATAATCGCCCACGCCAATGTACTCGCAAAAGACGTTGCCAATGGCGCAGCTGATACAAAGTACCCTGTCCTCAATGCCAGCTCCTCCCTTTTATAAAAGAATGACAGGTAAAAAGGTATTCCCGTAAACCCCGCCTCCCCAATCCCCAACAACACACGTAGAACCAAAAGACCTTCGAAAGACGTAGTAACGGATTGCAAAGAAGCCACCAACCCCCAAGACAGCACGATAGCCGTAAGGTAGATATGCGCCGGAATCAACTTCCACAAAATCGACATCCACTCAAAAGATATGTACGCAATATAAAAAGCCGTAACAACCCATTCGTACCTCACAGAATCAAGTTGTAGATCTCGATCCAGGCCCGCAATCCGGGCATTCCCAATATCTATAACCCAGCACATCAATTTCGCATCCAATAAACCAACAAGTGGAGGGAGGGGTTACTCACTGGACCGATCCAGAAACGAAAGCATATACAATACCGCAACAAACAAAACCAATTTCTTATCGAAAATCCCCACCACCTCTGCCTCCTCATCGGGCGTGTACAATTGATAAGACTGCACCGTCGAAACACTAGTCCTCCTCCGCCTTCTCCTCCCACGACCACCTTCCTCATCCCCCTCACTCTCACTCGCACTCTCGTCTTCCCCCTCCCCCTCCCCCCTCACCTCCAGCATA